TATTAACTTTATGGTGATAATATATATCTATTTATCCATTAATTTTAAACAACAAACTATTAACTTTATAAAGTTATAACATATACCTATTTATCCATTAATTTTAAACAACAAACTATTAACTTTATAAAGTTATAACATATACCTATTTATCCATAAATTTTAAACAACAAACTATTAACTTTATAAAGTGATAACATATACCTATTTATCCATACATTTTAAAAAACAAACTATTAACTTTATAAAGTGATAACATATACCTATCTATCCATAATGTTTAAACAACAAACTATTTACTTTATAAAGTTATAACATATACATATTTATCCATAATGTTTAAACAACAAACTATTAACTTTATAAAGTGATAACATATACCTATTTATCCATACATTTTAAACAACAAACTATTAACTTTATAAAGTGATAACATATACCTATTTATCAATAATGTTTAAACTATATGCACTTACTTGCTTGTTGACGAAAGTTTAAATTGTGACTACCATGAAAATAAACCTCAAAGCATCACTAACTAAGGCTTATTCCCTTTGTCACTCTGTCGAGAATGCTTTCACACTCATTTTTTTTGGTAATGCTCAACAATATACATTGTTGCTTAACAATAAAACTGTCACCTGATTATTCTTAGACCAACTATGATATTTATGTTGAATGGTCAATATTCATGTTGATTTGTTAGAAAGGTTTGTTTTTATTCTTTTTTTTATAACTTTGGTGACAGCAAAATAGTTTAATTCAGATGTTTTATGACACTGAGTTGTAACCAAAAGCAAAATAAAATTTACCAAATAGTTCTTCAGCTAAGCCTTATGTTGCGTTTATGTATTAGGCCTAATGGTTAAATTAGACTACAAGTAGGCCTACTATTACTAACATTATAGAGTCAGTGTTTAAAAGGTTTTAAGTAGTGAATAAATGTTAATTAATAAATATTCTTTTGGTATTTCAACACGTATATTACTTACTTGGCCTTAAAACATAAAGAAAAATTAAACGTTTACTGCTACCAAATATCTTTTATCTTTTGTACAGTCGAAAGAGTTAAAATCTGTGTTAGAACGTCCACACTACATTTTTAATTTCTGACTTAAAATACAGCAAAAATTCTCAAGAGTGCTATTTAAGTCTCTTTCAGAGTGCACACGTACTTTTGTTCATGATAACATTTAATTTTTCTGTATAGTTTTTACTACAAGTGTGGTGGTTAAAGAATTACTGATGAAATAAGAGTAGATACGTCATGGAGGTACAGACAAAAATTGTTTTATTTAAATTATATAATTCTAATATTTAAGAAATAAATTGACTAATACCATAATGTAGTAATTACTTGTAGCCATGACATGGCAAACATGTACGAGATAAAAATATACATCGTGAAGTGAGTTTCGCAACCATCACATGTTAAATATATGTATAGTATACACAAAACAGTACCTATGAAATACTAAAAAGAATCATGACGTACTCTTGCATTAAACTGACTTACATTTAGAGAAGTACAAATGTATCAAGATGAAAAAAAAAAGGATTTCCTTACACTTACCCTTTCACCACGAGAATAAAAGAAATATTTCAGTTTGACAATATTACAATGATGTAGTCTTCTCATTATCTGCAATTCTCGATTCTACAAAAAACAAAAAATTGTATGTGGTCCTAGTCGTAGTTTTTCTTAATAGTACTCTAGCTGAAATTTTGAAGAAGCAAAATACAAGGTGTTTTTCTCTAATTTTGTACTCAACAATTTAAATGTTTCTCATAAAAATTATCATTATTTATCTTCCTTCAAATGATATGTTACATAAATATTAAAGAAATGGCACACATGCAAGTTTCTGTTTAAACAAAAAGGATGTAGAAACTTTCAGTGTATTCATGTATAATAAATGAACAAACTCAACCAAAAGATTAATAATTCTCCAAATAGACCAAATTTAGATACATAATTGTGCATTTTTACTTTAAATCTTTTGTCTTGTAAAACTTTTTTGATTGCCACCATTTCCCCAGTGTCGACAAGTCGGGCTTGGTAAACCACACCAAAAGACCCGTTTCCAATGACTTTCATATCAGTGTAGGATACTTCCTGTGGTCTGTCAGGTCCTTGACCTGGAGTTGCCAAAACTGTAGTCACCTTACCTCCATCTTTACCTACAGAAAGGTAAATAACAGATAAATAAAATAAAAACTAGATGTAATAGAGCAGATCCTAGAAAAATTGCGAAAAGGATAAAATACTTACAGACTTTATATCAGTAGTTCCATAAAATCCATTTGATAACCAAATCAATTTTAAACAGTTATGTTCTATGGCATGAGTGCTATTGTTTAAAATATATTTTTGAAGTTTTTTGCTATGCGTGTACATTACAGTACATTTTTATTTTATGATTAAGGTACCCTTTTTTTACTCATTTATTCAAACGTTTTATACACCCCATGCATCGATCTGTTTTTTTCTTATGATTTCCAGCAAGTTTATTTCAAAACTTACTCCTGATCTTTTAAACAATATTTATCACGATTACCAACATAAAACTAAAAAACATTCTGATTCTGTGATTCTAAAAATTATAAAACATTAAAGTTTATTCAAATACTTATTTCTCCTTTTTTTTTGTCTGCAAGTACCAGAAAACAATGAAAATTTTAATAAAATCAACTACACTTTAAATTAGAAAAAATTACTTTGGTTTTGTTTACTTCCTATGACAAATTGACCTACTATTACTTTTTTAATAAAAGATTACAATGTCTCATAAAACTTAAGCTTCAAGTAATAAAATCAAAAAGCCAATGTGATTCTTCAATTACAAGGTTGAACAAAATGGAAAACTTGAATTAACAGGCCACTCAATTCCACAAGCCTGAATGAATCTGTGTGTTCACAACTCCTGAAATACATAGTTTTCACCACAGGATTTCTCAAGCAAAGCCAAGATAAAACAACAATAAAGCACACAGAACTAAGTACTGTAATGTTTATTGAAGCAAGATATCAAAGTAGCTATGACCTAATGAACCAACAACACAGAATCTCACAAACTTCAAGATATTCTTGAATGCACATTTCTGATGATCATAATGCAGAAGTCTACTAGTACACCAGACAGTCCAAGCTGACATGTGGGTGTTCATTAACAACTTGAAATACCTGAGCTTTTGCTATCACGATCATTCTTGATATTTTTTTTTACTCTGTTCCCAGCTGATCCAAAATGTACTCTCACCAGCCACAAGTTCCCAATCGAGAAAGCAAGGGATCATCAATGGGTAGTTATTACATACATCAATTCTCCAGTGTGCATGCAAACTGCCAGGTGCTACGACTTGGATGATTTATGAACCTTTCCACCAATGAAACACTGGTGTCTTCATGTACACTTATTCAAAAAAATGCAATGTTTATTTAAACAATAATAGAAGTCTTTTGATCCACATCAAGAAAGGCATAATTACTGTCAACAGAGCTGGGCAAATAACTCGACGAGTATCATGTCAATTGGAGTCACATAAAATTGATTAATCAATTGAAATTAATGTTTCTAATTATTTGAATTATCCACATAATGGAAATATATATATAATCATGATTTCTCATTATTTTTTGATTAATTCAAATTTGTTCGGCATAATCAGCATTTTGCCTATTCAAAATAATGACCAATTTTATATCCATGAAAATCTCATTATCCTCTTCCTCTACTAAATCAAACAAGTTCTGTTTTCTATTGTATCTTCTTTTTTCATTTATTTCTTCCAAACACTTTTCAATCGACTGCCATTCTTTCATTTCTTGGTGGACTGACTTGAAATTTGGTAGGGTTATACATTGGTCCAATACATCCAGACACCTATTTCTTTCTTTTTTAATTAGAACTTTTTATGGATTTTACAGGGTCAAAGGTCAAACAACCCAAAAATGTATATTTTGGGATCCTGTGCAGTCATATTAAAGACAATGGAGATGAAAATTGGTACAAATATATAAATGTTCATGCTCCCAACGTTGACTGAACTCTATTTATAACAACCTTCTTCTTTCTTCCTCCAACTCAGTCTTCTATCCAATTAGCCAACTTATCCCCCACACCTACAGAGATGACATTCTTAACAAGCCTTTTATCTAACACCTTTTCAAATGCTTTCTGAAACTCCCGATACACCAAATCTAAACCCATTCCCTCATCTACATAAGCAGTAACCTCTTCAAAGAATGTTAAAAGCTTAGCAAGTCAAAAGTTTCCACTTGTAAAACCATGCTGACTATCCAATAAAATTTTAAACTTTGTTAAATGACTTAGTAAAGCATTTTTACCAGACTTTTTACAAACTATTCTCACAACTGATGTAAGACTAATTAGTTGTATAATTACTGGGGCAATTTCTATCACCTTCTTTGAAAATAGCATTAACTAACTTCCAACCTTCTGGCACTTGCCCACACTTCACGAAGTTAGAAAAAAGTAGTAGCAAGTGGCTCACATATCCAATGTTTAATCTCCTTCAAAACCCTTGCATATATCAACCATCCTGTATCATCTTTCATTTCAAATCAATAGACAATTTAAATAGATATCTATACGGAGGCTCCGTTTATGCAGAATTCGGCATTATACACACACACACATAAGCACGAACATTTAATAAAACACTCCCTTATATCCAAAAGCCACAGGGATTTGGTAACAAGGAACAAAGCATCCTTTCATAACATCATGCCACCCCACAGTGTTGGCACTACAATAAAACTGTTATCTCCTTGCACTCCGAGTTTCCTTATACTTAATTTCCCATTAAGTTTCAAACTTTGTAAAGTAAAGCTATAACAACTTTTATATTACAGAATATGTTAGCATTATTTTAACTCTGACTTTATGTTTCTTTAAGTCTTTATAGTCAACAGTGATTGGTCCAAAACACTATATCATTATAATGTAAGTCTCTCTTCTTCCACGTAAACAAAATATGCATGCGTCATATCATCATCGCAAAAATAAAACACCACAGCAGCTAGCATGGAGAAGTTAAGTGTATTTAACCCAATAACACAAAATTATTATCTGAACAGATGTAACAGCATGGCATGGTGATTAGGGTGCTCGATTCACAATCTGTGGGTCTTTGGATCTAAACCCAAAATACTATATTTTCATAGCAGAAATCTCTCTTCTTTAATGTAAAAAAAATACTGAAAACACTGTTACAGTGCTACACAGCTGGCTTGAAAAAGTTAGTGTAAATCACACTAACTTGCAAAAATAAAACATTATAAAGTGGCTAGCATGGAGAAGTTAAACAGTGTAGTTAACACAAGAATATTAAATTATCTTAAGAGATGTTCTGGTTTTGACCTGACAAAGCTTAGTGATTAGGGAACTCAATATGAAATGTGCAGATGGTGGGATTGATACAAGTCGCTGAACATGCTCACCATTTAACCATGGGGGCATTATACTATGACGGTCAATCCCAGTATTTGTTGGTAAAGAGTAGCCCACTACTTAGTGATGGGTGTTGCTGGCCAGATGCCTTTTCCTCTAGTCTCCAAACGTTTATCTTTTAAAAAGTGGGTTCCCTGTCATCAAATTTTAAACATGGGTATATTGTCAGGAGTCTCATAGATCTGGTATCCACACCTAGGTTTATCTATATATCACATTAGTTAGATCAGTTATTCTGTATGGATTTGAATGTTGGTACCGTAATGAAAGAACATACGACAGATTTGTCCAGTCTGAAAATACTGGATTGATGGTATTATGAAGAAGGCTAGATAAAAATGGATCAGACTCGTCATTCACAGGGAGAGAAAGAATCACCACACAGGCAGTTAAACGAAGACCTAATGGAACTAAAAAAAAAAAGGAACACTGAGACCAACTTGGATTGGCACTATGAAAAGGACAGCTGGAGATTAATGAGATGATGTGACTTGGTATCGATGTGACTTGGTATCAGTGTACTTGGACCAAGCTTGTGGAGATCCTTTGTGTCACTAGGCATGTAGAACCTTTATAATAATAATGCTATATATTTAGACTATAGAAGCATTTACAAATATAAATTACCCACATTTCAAAGACTTTGTCAGTTCTACCAACCAGTATAATTGATTTGAAATGACTCTGTAGCATTTTTCATAAATGTACATATGGTCTAATTATTATACAGAATTGTTTGTAAGCAAAAACTTCTTATTTATTGTAGTTGTTATAAAAAGTCAAAAAAACTCAAATGATAAAAGTAAAAGCAGTCGCATATCAATCAAATTGTTATAAAAAGTAGACGACTCATATCTACCAAAAGCTAGTGCAAAAATAACATTGTTTCATGTTCATATTAGGCATCAACACTGTCCTAATTATTGAGTGTAGTATAAATTAGTATTTTCAGTTACTTGATCCAGAGCTCTGTGTTCGCCATACTGTTTCAGGTAATTAACCAAAATGCTTAATAACTGTTATATTTCTTATATAATTATTTTATCCAATGTTTAAGCTGCGACTCCACCATTTGTACTAATACTGACACAGCTAAATTAAGGTTAATGAACACAACTATTTTCAGTTGCTTCAAGTTAATTAATTTTTCCACTGCAACCAGAACTACAATATCTCAGTGCTAAAGATTCTGATGCCAATTGATTCAAAACAACTTGACCAGCATGGCAGATTTAAATTTCAGCTCAAGCTTAGGATCACATAAATATAAGTAACAGTTTCTTTACTAGCCCTGTTGAAATAACAACAGTAAAATGTTTTGTTGGAATATTTTTTAACATTATTGTTATTATTGCCTATAAAGTTTTTTTTTCTAACTTTACTGTTAAAACTACTTACATAAAGTTATTAATATCACAATACTATCAATATAGTTCTGTATCAGCCATTTACAGAACTTAAATATTACTTACTGCTTATTTTAATGCCTGGAAAACTAGGGTGTTGTTGTTGTTGCTGCTGCTGTTTATTACCATCAGTGAAGGATGTTGTCCTTGGTCTACCACTCATGATCAAGTAACTTTTGATTTTCTTTTTATTCGTAATTATCGTTCAGTACTACTACTAGTTACTATTTCTTCTTAATTAGTATTCGTTTTGCAACACCTATTTTGATTCGTTTTAAATATCACATTCTAATATTTCTCCTACATGCGTTTAACGTGTGTTTCTCGAATTCACGCATCAAGTAAGCTTGTTTTTCGCTTAGTTTTCAATGTAGTTATCGTAAGTCCTATCGCCGAATTAATTTAGTAGTTAGTACTAATAGTAACAACCTAATTTCTTCCGACGGAGTACCACTAACTAAGCCTAAACTAAAGATAAAGTTAAGCCTAATGGTAGTGCATTACTATTTTTTATACAGCACAATCTCAAATACATTTTTTCTTTAGTTCCTGTATAAATAATTTTTCTTCTAGTGCTGCGTAAGAAACCACAGAAAATAGTGCACTTCACAACAAAATAGATAACTTGTAATTGTATATGGTTAACCATGAAATCTAAGGAAGCATTAATGACGATCGCATTGACCTCTACGTCACTTCGATAGATATCATATGATCTGTGGCGCTGAAATACATTGATCGTAACTTTTTTTTATTATTAAATCTATTTATTTTAGAATCGTAAATGTTTTACAACTTATATCTCCATTATAGTGTTCAACTTGAGTCAATGGGTTTTTATTTTCGTTTATTCATGTATATAATCAATGAAAGGGTTTCTGTTTGTTTTAAATATTTTCCACTACATTTTGGTAAGAGAAAACGACTTTGACTTTCCAAAAAACATTAAAAAACTCTTCTTTTTTTTCTGCTAACGTTTTGTTATTACGGCTTCGTCAGTGCTAACAGTGTAAGAACTAAATCCTTCCAGTATGTTTTACAAATTCAGAGAAAAACAAAATACTTCCCATTACATATATATATTACTTTGATTTTTATTGTTGTTTTTATTAAGTTCAGAGAACACATAGTACAAAACAGAACGAAAATATTGATCTCGTACAATATATGATTCGTTTTTAGTATATGCCCTTGGACTAGGGTTAAACTTGAATAGAGTTCATTCTTTTTATTTAATTTATTGTTGAATATCCGCTTTTTGCTGGTTTAATTGTACATACATATCTACATCAAAACTGGATAAAGTTTAAGTATTTTGAACTAATTTTACACATTGCTTGTCTTTCAGAGTCCACTGTATGTGTGGGAAAAAATAAAAGAAGCCATCAACCAAACACCTATCCTAAAAATATAAATAACTAAATATAGAGAAAATTCAATGAACTGTTTTCGCAAATATATGGAACTAACAGTAGTGATGTTCTAGAGGAGAGACCGAGTGCGACGCTTTAGAAAGGTTATATCTTTCTTACTTCATTTTTGATTAAATATCTAACTAACAAAATAAGTATATATATATGATTCATGAAATAACTTCTAACATAGGAGTTCCTAAAACCTACAGCAACAATCAATGATACATAAATAATCTAAATTATGAGTAACAGGCAAACTGCAAAAATCTTCTGAAGGCCCAATGTTCGCGTTATAATGCCGCAAAGTTACACTTCGATTAGTGTAGACCAACAGTTGGCGATGCTCACTAACTGTCTCCCACCTAGTTTAGCAGCCCAAAATTAAAGACGGCAGAACCAATGGTTTTTGTGTGGCTATGCGCAAATATCAGAAGGAAACAATAAAGTGGCTTTAAATATTGTTACGTCTCCGTTTGTTAATTAATTTTCCGTAAATTCGTTCCGACGAAACTTTAGCGATACAAGTCCTTTCTTAAATAAAACTGGTTTATTCTTTCCGAATACAACTTTACGATACACTTAATTTCAACAGTCGCTCTATAACAACGTTATAACTCACGTCTCACGTGGCCAACAATATTTTGTCCACATACATTCAATTACTCATTACCTCCCCGTCGCTTCGTGGCCGGTGTTATATATATATACAAGACTACACTATATCTAGTAATCTCCCGACAATTCACGAAGGTTCGAGAAGGACGTGGCTTGATACTAATCACGTGACCTCGCTGACGCAATACTGCCCCCTCCTTAATATTGTTCGTCCCGAACAATAGCCACTAACATTAAACCAATAACAATTAACTTAATTAAATGTACAGAATTACAAACACAAAATTACAATTCAACAAAGTCTCTTAATTTTACGGGACGTATTTTCTTCCGTACTGGTCTCCGTCTCGTTGGCTTCTGTTTCACGTGGGTTCATCTGCTTCATC